GAGTCAACCAGGGCCCAGTCAATCAGGCAAGAGTCAACCAGGGCCCAATCAATCAGGCATGTGGCAACCAGGGCCCAGTCGACAAGGGCCCAGTCAATCAAGCAGGTGGCAATCAAGGTTCAGTCAATCAAGTATGTGGCAACCAGACCCTTACCAAATAGGCCTGAGACAACCTGCCCCATGGCAACTAGGCCCAAGCCAACAAGGTCTGAGGACACCAGGCATGGAAAAATCAGGCATGAATCAACTGCAACGAGGCCCAAATCAATACAGCAGTATTCATTCAGGCATGTGGCATCCAGGTCCTAGCCAACTAGGTTTCAGGCAACTGGATCCAAGCCAATCAGGCATGAGGCAACCATTTCCAAGTCAAGTAGGTATCAGGCAAGAAGCCCCAAGCCAATCAGACATGCAGCAGCCATGCAATGATTCATTCCTGGTAAGACCTGCGGAAGCACGTGACTGCCCAGAAATCCTGCACCTAATTAAAGTAAGCTTTTTTCCCTCCTTATTCCTTGGAGCTTCTTAGTATTAGTTTGGACCTGAGGGTAAGGAAGGCATAGGCTGTATCTTATTCCTGACTCTGCTAATTAAGAACCGTGTATGCAAACTTCTGGAAGTTACTTAGCCTCTCTAAGCTTCATGTTCTACATCAAAATAAAGACCATAGTATTATTTATATAGAAATATTGTTGAAATGACTCAACAACTTAAAAATGATTACCCATAAATTAACTGACATATAGGAGTGGGCACAAAAAGTCAGAGGACCCAATTAGTGGAAATTCCAGGGACCTAATATATTGTCCATCCTGGGGAAATTTTAACTTCAAAAGAGCTTTTTTTGGAAAAGGAATTCTTAACTCAAATAAATGCCCTGTCAGTAATAGAATTTCAAATACCAATATCAATGGCTAAGTATTAGGGTAGTGAGTTTTGTTTCTTTTAACACTATAAATGCTTGTATAATTTAATGATTGATTGTCCAGAAAGCAATATTTACCCACAACAAATTTCCCATACAATTTCAGACAGTTCTTTGACTCCTGAAGCCCATTGATATATTGCCTCCGAAAGTCCAAGAAATGGCTTAAAATTTTCTGGCTTAAAAATCATTTATGGTGGGGCCCTCCCTGGTGGCGCAGCGGGTTAAAGCACTGCACTGAGAAGCTAAAGCCACTTCCGCATGAGTTCGATTCCCGCCTGCCCCGGAGGTGATCACATGGTGTGGCAGACCTCTCCTGACCCACCCGCTGCTCCCCTCAGCAGTGTGCTTCGTCGATCTGCCTGTTTTGCTCCCCACTCTGTCTCTGGTGAAGCCTCTCACTGCCCCTGAGCCTCTAGCCTGTACCCCGGTTCTGTATGTACAAATAAATAAATCTTTAAAAAAAAATCATTTATGGCAACAACTGCTGAAGGGAGGAATCCTACACTTCTAAAATACAAAAGATAATTTAAACCAATGTTACCTTAATAAAAATATTGATATGACAAAAATAAATGAACTGTTAAAAAACATATTAAAAATTCATTTTAATTGTATTCCTGAATCATCCAGTGTATTAAAGGGGAAAATATAATAGCCACAGTTACTGTGCTGAAATTCTGGAGCACTGAAAGCAGCAATTATGTGACCACAACTTAAACAATTCCACATGAAAACAGTAGCTCAGATACTTGAATGTAATAAATACCTGGATGGAGCAAGATGCAGATTATAGATAAGAAAATTTGTAAGAGTTTTGTAATGAAAAGGCTTTCATGTACTAGAATATATAAATCTCATCTAAATAAGGCCATTTGTATTCCATTTGAGCAGAGAATGTGTTTTCATGGCCAAAATAAAATAAAAGCTTCCTAGTTGAAATACATGTTTTAAAATGGGGCTATGCACTATTACAACTCTGTAAGAACTGGGTTATCTATCTTTCCATATCTTCCTTTCTATTCCATCCCCATAAATTCAACATCATTTCTTTAAATTGTATTAATCTGCATGAATGAATCATAAATCAAAATGCTACATACCATATGTTAATTATTCCAGAAGCAAAGACTTTCAGGTAGAAAATAATTTTAAGGAATTTTTGGTAGCGTAGTATCTGACACTTGGTTAGGAATTGATAAATTTATTATTGAATGATAATGAATCTATATCCTGAAAATGTACTTCCCTTAGCTTTCAAATAGGGCTATTGCTATCACCAAGTGAAAAACACATCATTGGACTTAACACTTCCATAAACCTGTATTTGTACACTTTGAATTTGTTTCATATACCGAAATATACAGCAGATGTTTTTTGGGAATAATTTTAATGAGGAAAAATAACTTAAAGGTCACTTAGTCTGTATCACAGACATGAATGCAATGACTAGCTAGCATTGAGCTTCATGTTTTTCTCAATACATGTATGTCCACTTGCCTTAACTCATGTTCACTTGCTAAAACTACAAAACATTCTCTTTGCAAAGGAAATTCAATTTGCCACCATAAGTATTCTATTCCATTGCTTAGCTGGGTATTTTGCAGGTTTCATTCATTATCCTGCTACAAAATTCTTCCTAATACCCTCTGTATGCATCAAATTTATCTTATTCGCAATCACTTCACCAACACATTACTTGGGGATCTGGTCATTTCACAGCTAGATAGTAATAACTTCTTACCAGACTTTCCACTAAAGGTTTTCATTAGGTCATTCCCCAAAAGAATGGTTTTGGAGCCTAGGTGATCCACAGATAAATGCTATATGGGGTATTAATATCTGATTTTTGTCCACTGTTCAGCATCAAATGCATATAACAGAAAGGCCAGATGCTAAGTTCTGTAAAGGATACAGGGATTATTGAATTATACTCGCTGCTCTTAAGGAGCACATAGTGTCTCAAGGGAGGTGCTCTACACTATAGCCAAAATGCTCAATTGGGCTCTGGTTGCATTGAGATAAAATTTCTTACCAAATGCTCAATTTAATCTGGCTCTTGCTATATTCTTTACAAGTTTAAACAATTTTTTACTTATAAACTTAATGCAATCCCAGTCAAAATCCCCATATTTTCACATGAAAAAATAAACAATGAATTTTCTAGAAAATCCCAAAAATAAGATTAGTGAGGGGAAATGATCCTTACCAGATATTATAAAACTGCAATTAAAATACTATGGTAACCTCTTACCACAGATGCATAGATAGATCAAAACAGAGATGGATCAATGAAACAGAATGGAGAGTCTGGGTTTCTCAAGTATATGTGAGAATATAGTACATTCTAAAGAGAACATTTCAGCTCAATTAATAAAATATGGGTAATTCCACAATTGGTGTTGGGTTAATTGGGAGGCAAAGATAATGGTAAAATTGTATCTCACTTCTTACACCAAAAAGCTTCCTCATGAATCAACGTTAAACACTTAAAATCAATGAGTGATTAAAAGATATGGTGGTGGAGTAGGTGGGGGGATGGGGGTAGAGGGAGTGAAGGTGGTCAAAAGGCTAAAACTTCCACTTGTAAAATAAGTTTTTGGAATATAATATACTACATGGTGACTATTGTTAATAAAGATATACTGTATATGTGAGAGTTACTAAGAGGACAGATCTTAAAATTTATCACAAGAAAAAATGGACTCAGATGATCAATATTAAATTTATTGTGGCAATATTTTCACAATATATGTATATATCAAATCATTATATTGTACACCTTGAATTAATACAATGTTGAATGTCAATTGTAGCTCAATAAAACCAGAACAAATTTAAAAAGCTGATTTTGAGCAACTATTTTTATTATACAAAAGTGGGGAATTTCTTTCCAAGTATGAGTTCCAAACCATGGAGAATTATTCAGAATGTGTAAAAAACTGATACTGTGAAAAGGTAAATAATGTCTAAAGTTTAACTGAGAAAAATACCTCAGAAGCAAACACTACAGATTTCTGTAAAGCCCATGAACTCTATAGTACATACATTTTGATATGTGGTAACATTGATTTACAACACCGTACATGATGTAAAGGTCTTGAGTCACACACACCTCTTCAGATATGGTAGCACACCACATCCACTCCCAAGTCATCATAGTTCTCTATTAGAATCCATTATGTCCGCACTGCCTCTGTTGTTCTTCATATTTTACATATGATTTGTGACGTCTACCCAAAATCCTCAGAAACTCTTTTAGCTATATTTCTTCATTTCCTGCTGTATTCAAGGCTAGATAATTACCTGAATAACTGACCTTCATATGACGAAAGTATTGACAACCTCTGTAATATATGCGTTTGTTGCATGAGCAGTTATAAAGTTTCTAGATGACTGGAATTAAGTCTGACTCACTTTTAATACTGTCTGGAGTATCATATACTGGTCTATCATATACTAGTAAATGTTCCATTAAAACTTCATGACTATCATCTTAAGAACTTGTTATTAAACCATAAATTAAAAGTTTTTTTCAACTTTAACAGGAATTGGCTGCCTGTGAAAATATGCTAGATGCAGTTAAGCTAACAACAACAGGTAAGGTATTCTGTGGTACTTTTAGATCTAGAAAAAGAAAATTGCAAAGTGTATATATCCAGTATTATGTGTGCCTAGATGTGTGGAAGTGGTTGTCCTTGGTATACAAGAAAGGTATATAATAGTATCTATATGTATAGGACATAAATTTGATAGCGCTCCACATTTTATATTTGCACATTTTTAATATGATATGAGCTTTTATACATTTGCAGCTGCAATAGGCTTCAACTAAATTTTAAAGTGTTGAATGAGATGTATAACTAGTCAAAAAAGTATAATTTAATGCCCAATGAGATAGATGAGAAAGTAAAATGATAAAGCTATTTTTTATTATATATTGATAGCAGTATTAATACAGTAGGTTAGTGTTGAATTGTAATTTGTTAGGCAGCAAATAACGTTAACAGAAGAGATTATTAAGGTTTATAAAATTATACTTGGAGTTCTATAGGATTTGAAGATCAACTTTACCATTTTTGTGAGAAGAGACGTTGGAATTTTGATAGGGACTTTTTTTTTTAAAGATTTATTAAAAAAAAATGATTTATTTATTTGTACATACAGAACTGGGGTACAGGCCAGAGGCTCAGGGGCGGCAAGAGGCTTCACCAGAGACAGAGTGGGGAGCAGAACAGGCAGATCGGCGAAGTACACTGCTGAGGAGAGCAGCGGGCGTGTCAGGAGAGGTCTGCCACGCCATGTGGTCACCTCTGGGGCGGGCGGGGATCGAACTCATGCGGAAGTGGCTTTAGCTTCTCAGTGCAGTGCTTTAACCCGCTGCGCCGCCAGGGAGGGCCTTGATAAGGACTATACTGAATCTTTATATTGTCTTTGGATAGTATTGACATCTGACAGTGTTAAGTCTTCTCATCTATGAGTACAAGAGATCTTTTTATTTAGTACTTTCAACAATGATTTATAGTTTACAGTATTTCATGTCAGTGGTTAGATTTATCCCCAGGTATTTTATTACTTTAGGGTCTATAGGAAATAGAATTGCTTTCCTAATCTACATTTGGGTTGCTCTTTGGCAGTGTATATAAACAAAACTGATTTTTTTGTGTGTTCACATTCGTAGCTTGCAAGTTTGCTAGATTTAGCTTTGGTAGTTTTTTTGATTCTCTGTCAGTAGGATCACATCACTTGCAAATAGAGATCATTTTACCCATTTCTTTCTAATTTGGATGGTTCTGATTTCTTCTTCTTGCACAATATCTTTCGCTATAACTTAATGTTGAATAGTAGAAGTGAAACTGGGCATCTTTGTCTTTTTCTCCCCAGGAGGGATGCTTTCATTCACCGGTGAGTGGTGAAGTTAACTTTTTTTAAAAAATACCGTTTTATCATGTTGAAGAATTTCCCTTTATTCCTACTTTTCTGAGGGACTTTATAATGAAAGGGTATTACATTTTGTGTGTGACATTCTACATTGATTTAAGATCATGTGTTATCTCCCTTTGTTCTGTTAACATATAGTATATTGATTTTATACTGAATATTTTTGATCCTAGGATAACTTAACTCACATTTTGTCATGGTGAATAATCCTTTAAGTATGCAGTTGGGTTAAATTTGTTATTTTGTTGAGGAACTTTGCATCGATATATATATATATATGTATATATATATATACATTTTTTTTTAAGATTTATTTATTTATTCAGACAGAACTGGTGTACAGGCCAGAGGTGTAGGGGCAGTGAGAGGATTCACCAGACAGAGACAGAGAGGGGAGCAGAATAGGCAGTTCGACTAAGTACACTGCTGAGGGGAGCAGCAGGTGGGTCAGGAGAGGTCTGCCATGTCATGTGGTTCACCTCCGGGGCCAGGAATTGAACTTGCACTGAAGCTGCTGCGGCCAAATAGCAGTGCTGTATCCTAACCCGTTGTGCCACCAGGGAGGGCCCGTTGCATCCATGTTAACATAGGATATTCATCTATACTTTTCATTTCTTATGCCATCTTTAACTGTTTTGGGTATCACGAGTAATGCTGGCTTCATAAAATGAGTTTAGGAAGCATTCCCTTCTCAAATTTATTTATTTATTTTTTGGTACATATTTGAGGACTGGTGCTATTTCTTTAAATGTTTGGTAAAACTCACTGTGAAATCATCTGGTGGGAATTTTTTATTTCTTTGCTGGGAATTTTTGATTACTTATTCAAACTCTTGTTCTAGGGCTTCAGATTTTGTATTTCTTCTTGAATCAATTTAGAAAATTTGAAAGTTTCAAGAAATCTGTACACCTTTTCTAAGATGTCTAATTTGTTGAATTACAACTCATAGTAATTTTCTTACAAATGTTTTCATCTCTGTAAAGTCAGTAGCAGTGGTTTCATTTGATTTTAACTGCTTATTTGCTCTCTTTATCTCTGTTTCTATCGTAGTTATTTTGATCTTTTCAAAGAACTAACTTTGGTTTCAATTTTTGTCTATTTGCATTTCTATGCTCTATTTGGTTTAGCTCTGTTAGAGATAAATTTTATTGTTTATTGTTACCTTCCTTCTCTTAGCTGTAGATTAGTCTGCTCCATTTTCTGGCTTAAGATGAAATGTTAGGTTATTACTTGAGATTTTTCTTTGTGTATTTATAGCTATAAACTTACTTCTGAGCATCATTTGTGCTGTATCCCATGAGTTTTATATGTTGTATTTCCACCATGATTTCTTCTTTGACCCACTGGCAAGTGGTGTGTTGTCAAATTACCACACGTGTGAGTTTCCTAGTTTCTCTTCTGTTGTTGATTTTTAGCTCCATTACATTATAATTGAAAAAGATACTTCGTGTGATTTCAATATTTCACAACTTATTGACTTTTTGCGGCCTACTAAGTGGCAAATGTGAGAGCAATTCTCATATGCACTTGAGAAAAATGCGTATTCTGTTAGATGAAATGTACTGTATATTTTTGTTAGGTCCAACTGATTGATACAGTGTTGCTGAAGTAATCTAGTAATTTATTCTTATATTTTGTTATTCAGTACATTATTGAAATTGAAATATTGAAGTTTCTTACTATCATTGTAGAAGTGCCTTTATAATGTTGACAATATTTGCTTTGTGTATTTTGGATTTCTATTGGTTGGTGCATAAATATTTATCAAAGTTTTTATTTTTGTGGAAAATTGACACTTTATCACTATATAATATTCTTCCTCGTCTCTTTGAACAGTTGTTTTTTCTTTATTTTGTCTGATATAAGTACAGCCACCTCAGCAGCCTTTTAAATACTCTTTGCATGAAATTTCTTTTTGTGTTATTTCACATTAACTATTGTATATGCTTTTTATTATGAGTCATATAATCAGCATCTATTTTAGCCCATTCTGTTATCTTCCCTTTATCACAGCATTTAATCCATTTATATTTAATTACTGATAAAGGAGAGCTGTTACTACTTTCTATTTGTTTTCTATGTGCCAAATAACTAATTTTGCCCCTCATTTCCTCCACTACGACCTTCTTTTTGTTTGATTTTTGTAGCAAAATGTTTTAATTTTCCTATGTGCCTATTCTATATTCTTTTTGTAATTATCATGGGGATATTTAAAATCCTAAAGTTTTAACAAACTAATTTGTATTTATACTAGTTTAATTTGAATACTATACAAAACTTCTATATATCTGTCCCCCTTATATGTAACTAATGTCAGAGATTATATCTTTTTATTGTGTACACAGTAATATACACTACTGATTTTATACAGTTGTGATTTTAAGAATGTAGAACATAAAAAGTGGAGTAACAAAGAAAAATAACATTAGTTCCTCCACTCATGTATTTACCTTCAACCACACAACTTGTATCTTTATTTCTTCATATAACTTTGAATTTCTTCATGTCAGCCTTTCAGCATTTCTTTCAGAGCAGGTTTGGTGATAAGGAACACTCTCGTGTGTGTGTTTTCACTTCTAATTTTAAGACAACCTAATTTCTCCAATTTGAAAGATGGTATTTGTGGACATACAGTTCTTAGTTGATAGGATTTTCACTTGAGACCCTCTCTACCCTCCCAGCACTTTAAATATATCAATGTACTGCTGTCTGGTCTCCAATATTTCTGACAAGAAACTGGTTAATCCCACTGAAGATTCATTGTATGTGACCAGTTGCTTTTCTCTTAGTATTTCCTTTGTCTTTCAACAATTTGGTTATTGTATGTCTTGGTGGGGATCTTTGGAGTTAATACTAATTAGAGTTTGTTGAGCTTCTTGGATCTGCAGAATCATGGATTCCATCAATTTTGGCGATTTTAGTCATAATTTCTTCAAATGGTCTCTCCCCCTCCCTTTTTTTTTTTTTTTTTTTAACCTTCTGAGAGTCCTATAATGTTTATGCTGGTCCACTTGATGGGGCGCTACAGATCCCTCAGGCTTGTTTACTTTTTGGCTTCTTTTAATGTATTTATTTTTGTTCCTTATATTTATTTTAATTGTTCTAGCTTCAAGTTTTTTTTTTTCTTCTGCTAACTCAATTCTGATTTTGAACTTTTACAGTGCTGTTGTCATTTCAGTTATACTTTCCAACTTCTAAATATTTTAGTGGGTGTTCTTTCTCATAATTTCTATTTCTTTGTTGATATTTAAATTTTGATAGTATATATCCTTCCTGTCTTTGTACATGTTTTTAGTTCTTTGAACAGTTTTAAGACAGTCATTTAAAAGTATTGTTGCCAATAATGCTGGATTCTACTATTTGTCACTACTGAAAGGCAATAAGCAGAGACAGGAAATGAATCTGTTAAAAGTGTGTTTATTTAGGTAGCTGGCTAGCAATTTCATCATGAAGAAACCATTCTCACATCTCATTTCTACTACTTTATAGTTAATTGAACAAAAATCATTATCAATCGTTAATCAGTATAGCCCATCAGAGATTAATCAGCCAATCAGAACAGCCTGTTATATGTTCTTGCATTCATCATGTTAAGCCCCCAGAACTTTGCTTCCTTGTTAAATTGACCTTGGTGTACCCTAGCCTGCTTGGTTAATTTCTGATGGAATCCAATGCCTTGGCATTCATTTGGGCAGGACTCTCAGTTCAAAGCAAAATTTTTAAATAAAAAAGATCCTTAGTCAAATAATATGTACATGCAGCCTATGCTATGTGTGTATTCCTATACTAAGATTGGTGCTCTTCCCTTTCTCCCCAGCCTACTAATATTTTAGTACATGTGAACTATGACTTCCTAAGGTATTATCCTAAGGTATGTGTGATTTTTTCTTTCTGAGGGCCATATATTCAAATTTCTCTTTAAGGCCTGTGATTTTGTTAGCAGAAACGGGACATTTAAACCTTATGTGTTAAACTCTGGAAATCAAACCCCCTCTTTCACCTGGGATGGCTTTGTTGATATAGGGTAACTCTGTATCAGAGATCACTGAATTGAATTGTTTAAGGTATTCTAAGGTCTTTTCTAGGCCTGTAGTTCCTTTGTCATGCATGGTAGCTTTCTAGATTTCCTGGTATGTTGTTATTTCTGAATGTCCAAATACAGTATTCTCCTGGAAGAAGCGTTAGCTGGTAGTGATTGGAAAAAGGGTGGCTGAGTTTCAAGACATCACCTCAGTGTTCAGAGTGGCAATCCACAATCAGAACACAGGACACTGATATTTGGAGGATAAAGTCCTTATTGTCTACCCCATCTCAAAAAAAAAAAAATCACTCTAAAACTTTAGGTGGCTGTCCCCTTAGTTGTCTGTCATGTGGTGAGGGAGGTGGATGTGGGCTGTCAGAAAGCTGCTACTGGATGGACCGAGATAAACAGTAATATACCAGCTAAGCTATCCTCTGTAAGTTGCAAATGTTCAAATAAACTCTATTTTAAACATGCTAACTTTGGAAACTTTCTGCCAGTAATTGTGCAGGTGAAGAAACAAATTCCTGGTGTTGCTTATTTCCCCAGCTTCTCACAATTGCAAATTTTCTAACATATTCTATGTGAATTGATATTTCAGACTTACTAAGGGATGGCTTTGGGGACAATCCCCTTTTCTATTGTCTCATTGCAGAAGTACACAATGAACAAAAACCATCAGGTAAAATAAATCATTTTCCAACATAATCTGGAATGTATTTTCTCTACCTTAAAACAAAGTACAGATACTTTATTATACTTTGATAGCATGTATGTACTACTGAGCAAAGGCAAATAAAAGTACATAAAGATAACTTTTTTTTAAAAGAAAATGTGCCTATTTTTATATGCATAGAAAAAAACTTTGAAAGGATGTACTTCACATTTAAGGTTATTAAGGTTGTTATAAGAGGCTTTGCCCTACTATATTTATACTGACATGCTTTTAGAAATTTTGCTCAGTGACATTACTTTTATGTTTGATTACTATGGGTTTGTAGTATAAAGTGATGCCATTTTTTCTCTCTCTCTTTTTAATCAGCTTTTCTTTGACTATTTGGGGTTAATTGTGTTTCCGTATAAAATTCAGTAACATTTTTCTATTTCTTTAAAGAATGTCATTGAAACACTGATAGGGATAACACTGATTATGTCACTTTAAGAGTCAAGGCATTAACCTATGTGTACCACCATCTATTCCCTCTTCCTAGGCAAAATGACTGTTGGATATGCTATGTACTACTTCACATATGACCCCTGGATCGGCAAGTTACTTTACCTAGAGGACTTTTATGTTATACAAGCTTACCGAGGTCAAGCTATACTTGTTTTATTAGTATACTTTAAAAATGAAAAGCTGCATTTTAATTTGAGTAGAGATAGGGCTTTTGCATAAATCTGGTATTTAATTTTTGTACCTCATTTCTATGTCATGAATATGTTCACTATCCAAGTTATCCTTGTATATACTAAAGACTCAATCCCATTTTGGAAAAATGTTTTTCTTTAATTTCCATCAAGGCTTAAATAAGCTAAGGTATTATAGTTACACTTCTGCATTTACAAAATGCTATTATATTTTGAGCTCATTTGACTAGAAATAGATAAAAAAAATTCTGTGACTTGATGACAGTGACAGGGACTATTTTCCATTTATCAATTTTTAAAACAAACCCAAAACATTTGAAACTCATTCTAATTAGGAAAAAAATAAGAAAAACATTCTTCAGTTAACTACTACGAATAAAACAATCAGTTACAGGGTATTATACTTTATTTCTTTTAAACTAAAACAACTCGTTAAGTGGAATTTTTCAACTTAACGGCTCTTCATTTTGCATTGTATGTTGAAAAGGTCTAGGTATTGGGGCTGCACTGCTGAAGAGACTAAGTCAGGTATGTATTACAATTAGCATTGGTATTTTTATGTTATCTTTTCCCTCATTAAAAATATTTAACAGAAAATTAATCTAAACATGTGAACATAACCCCAAAATAATTTGAAGTTTTTATTTCAATGGTGAACTTTCAAATCAGACACTCATGCTGTATTTGAGTATTTTCAATTAAAAATTGACTTCAACATATTCTACCACTGCACTGTATACCTTTTTGCTACAAAGCAGAAGCAAGAGGAAGACTAGAAGGCAGTTTTACCTATCAAATAACGTCCACAGTATCAATATGAGAATAGTTAAAAAAAACAAGGTCCTTTGTATTTTGGAAACATATTATGAGATCAGGTGACCTTTTTGATAACCTTTTTCTATACCAAATAATAAAACCAATGAATTGAACTCACAAAAAGACTGTTTGGGCTTTGCAAACCAGTTTTGAAGTCTTAAATGGAGGGTTTTAAAGTTCAACAGGATTTTTTTAAATAGCGTTAAATAAGTTTAAGAAAGAACTATTATATTACTATTTGCTAGTTCCTTACATAGTAAACTTTTAATAAAGTATGTTAATGAATACCAAACTTTCAAGTAAAATAAATCTTTGTTTTAAAACAGATAGCCATCAGAAGCCAATGTAACTGCATGCATTTACTTGTCGTCATTTGGAACCAGGCTTCTGTTGAGTATTACACTCGTCGAGGGGCTTCAGACCTTTCCTCTGAGGAGGGCTGGCATCTGTTCAGGTTTAACAGAGAAGAGCTCATGGACATGGCAGGGGGAGAGTGGTAAACAACTCATCATAACTTGTCTCAAAATATGCTTCAACATCTGAGTATCATCTTACTGAAGGCTGAGTGTTGTACAATACAGCAAGTGATCAAATACTGGTTTGAAAAGACCTTTTAATTATAAACAGACTTTGCAGATGCAGTCATTTCTCCATTATACAAAATATAGGTAGTAATAGTTGATGATTCAATGAAACATTTAAAATTTTTAATAATCACATAAACAACTTTAATTATATTTTACCTACCATATTACACTAACTTAAGATGTATATATAAGCTACATCTTAAAATAGCTGAAATTGGAGTAAATATAATGATCAGTTGTAGCATTTCTTAGAGATAAATAATATTACCTATGATGGGTGTGTTTGATTATAAACAGATCTAAGGTACAAAAAAATCACTTTAAATAATTTAAATATTTAAAATTAAATACCTAAATTTTTAAAGAGCTCATTGGTAAGAGAACTGCTTTCCCAACTTTAGAGTAGCTGAAGTACCACTGCTACTTTTTATCATTCTAGAACTACATTCCATTTCTGAGCCTCTGTAGCAATGTGATCATACTAATCTCAGCTCAGATATTACACATAACACTATTTTTATGTTTCTATTCTTCCTAGTACAATATAAGGCCTTTGATATGCTATAATTCTTCTTGCATCCTGTGTTTCAACCAACATGGTAGAATATGTAGATTCCTACTATATACTAGGCATTTGATCTCATGAGCATATAAATTACACAATGATTCAACTATATTCACAAGAAGCCTGAACTGTGGAAAACATTAAATAAGATCTAGTTTTGTAGTAGATCATGTGGGCTATCATAAATATAAATATCAAAGGAATATATGAATGAGAGCATTTAAATACTACCTTGGAGAATTGAGAGGTGACAATGGAATTAGGTAGAAGGATGAGTAGGAAGTTGAAATGTAAAGGAAGATGAGACTGAAAAACTTCCAAAAGGAAACACCACACAGGGAAAGAAAAAGGCACAAGAGACTAAATCACGTTCAAGAAGCAAGTAGCACAGTATAGATATATTATATACTGCAGTAGGATGGGTGGGGGAAGGTAACATACGATTAGGGTAACCTAGGATCATATATGAAAGGCCTTGTCTGTCATGCTAAGGAATCTTGATCTGGCTGTAGGCAATGATTAGCCACTGAAGATTTCAGAAAGGCAATTATTCATAACAGTTGGCAGAGAGACAATTAAGCAATAATGACAGACAAGTTAGAATAGGGATGCAGATGCTCAACACTGAACTCAAATATCATTCATTCCAAATCCTTTACCCATTGCCTTTCTCACCAGAGGGGGAAAAATACTCTTCTTGTTAAGAAGAAAATCTTGTCAATACTCTCTGAGCTGAGTGTGGCTATATGACAAGTTCTCATCAAGATACAGATGTATTCTGAGATGGCTCTTTTTTTTTTTTTAAAGATTTATTTATTTATGCACACAGAACTGGGATACAAGCCAGAGGTGCAGGGGCGGTGAGAGGCTTCAACAGAGACAAAGTGGAGAGCAGGAAAGGCAGATCAATGAAGTACACTGCAGAGAGGAGCAGTGGGCATGTCAGGAGAGGTCTGCCGTGCAATGTGGGTCAGCTCCAGGGCCAGGGATGGAGCTCGCACTGAAGTGGCTGCCGCTAGCTTACAGTGCTGAGTCCTGTCCCTTTGCGCCACCAGGGAGGGTCTTTGAGATGGCTCTAAGAAAGTATTTACTTTTCAGATAAAAGGAGGTCAGAAGCCTCTGGTACATGGTTTTCTCTAACCCTTCTTCAAATGTATGTATGCTCCCGACAGGTACAGATGTCAGTTTTAAATATGAGGTGACAAATCGACATGCTAAGGAGCAGAGCAGAAATAGAAAATGTCTAGGTCTCTAATAGCATCAATGAACAACCTTACATTGATTAACTCCAGACTTGAAACAGACCCTTATTTATTTCAGCTACTATGAACTGCTTTATTGTTACTTACATGCAAAACACATTATGAAATGACAGAGTAAAACTAGTGGTTGGCAAATTACTCAGAAGTTTAACATTATACTTCAGGAAAGTGATGAAGATGAGTGCAAAGATTAAAGAAGGTAAAACAGAATTGAGAGAAAGACATAAGGAGAGATAAATTTAGCCTTAGGCATATTGACATTAGGGGTATCTATGGTATATTCTTAAGTAATAATTAGAAAGGCAGACTTATAAAGAAATATGCAAACTGGAAATATAAATGGTGGCTGACAACAGTGAAGCATTCTTAAATGAAAATGAGAGCATATGAAGTGAAAACAGAACCCTCAGAGGCTCAGCATTTTAGAATTAAGAATAATGTGGAGCAGAAATAACAGAACAAATGGAGAAGCGAGTTTCAAAGAAAAACTGGACAAGAGAAATTAATGAATTATGCCAAATCATAGGAAGAAAGAAAAGACAGCTCAAGAGGAAAAGGCAGGGTTAAAGAAAAGTTTTTGTTAGAACTGCTTTTGAATAAAGAAGTTGAGAAAAACAAGCAAAAAGAGAAGCCAAGGATGGAATATATGGTAATGGTAAAGAAGAGAAGGAATGAGATCAGGAACAAATTCATCTTAGAAAAAAGGATGTATGACTGAGAGGAGGTAAATCTTGTCATAGACAATTATCTTTGGCAGATATAGGAGGCTTAAGAATAAAAGGTCTGCAATACTTCCCCTGGGGAACAGACAAGGAAACCAGTAAGACTGTTAAATAGCACTGATTGTGGAGTGTCTGTGTGTGTGGTGGGGGGGGGGAGAGGGTTCCCTATACCATGGGGTGCTCCTAAATAGTTACTCATTTGTGGACATTTAAAAGGTGTTAAATTAACAAAACAGACAAAGTCAAGCCCAAGTACCACAAAATATGGATCTTTTATTCCAGCTCTGTGAAACAAAACAAGGGGGAGGGTGGTGAAACAGACTCCCACATACCATTCTAATTTAGCTGGCATTAATTCAGTAAAGCTAAAGCAAATATGTGTATAAATATGTATATATGCACATACATATTTTTTCATATTTGAATTTAATCTGCATTCATATAATTACTATTTTAAATAAACACTCTTAAAAGTTATCAATGATGCATCCTAGTATTTCTACCTCTTCCCTACTCATCAATCATTTAATATTGCATGATGATATTCAGTTTGTGTTTTAGTAACTTATCTGATTAGTCAACTATACATTAGAAGATAGAAGTGGAAAACTTGGTTTAAGTTATACTGTATCAGTTACCCATTACATGATTTTTTAATCACTATTTGCAACTTCACACATCCTGTAGTTTTCTATGCAGACTATTTCAGCTTCTAGTGCTGTACATATCTACATCTTCTGGATGGGACTGCCCGTGATCCATGAGCTTGGGGTCAGGCATAAACTGTGTAGCACCTGATAAAAGTATTAAAATAAAAAAAATTAGTGATTCATTTAATAAATTTTGTTGGTACTGGGAATACAGCAGTGAACAAAACATTTAAAAAACCTCTGCCAACATGGATATAACATTCAAATTGTTCAACACAAATTTATAAAACAATTAAAAGATATATCGATGGTGTGTTATGCAAAAGAATAAAGCAGGGAAGGGGAAATGGAGTGCTTGAGTAATCTGCAGTTTTAAATAGGGTGGCTAGAAAAACCTTCCGTCAAGGTGATATTTGAGCAAAGGACTGAAGGTGGTGAAGATATGAACACTGTAGATATCAGAGGGAAATGCCTTACAGGATGAGCAGATGGTCAGTATAATGAACTTGACACATGGCTGAGGGAACCACAAAATGGCCAATATGGCTGGACCAGAGTAGATAAGATGTGATGGTGGTGCGGTGAGAATAAGTCCACAGGAATTACAACTGAGATGAAAAAAAAATGTACAAAATGAAGAATGATGTAAATATATATATACATTTATATGTATATATATAAAATAAAAGTTATATAAAAAAAAGAAACGTGATCAGAAAGACAATGCCAGGCCATATAGAGTAGTCATGGTAAGGTTTTTCTCTTATGAAATGAAAAGCTACTGAACAATTTTGAGCAGAAAAGTGACATGATGCTACATTTCTTAAAAGATCAATCTAGGTTTGGGTAAAAGAGACTCTAGGTGTGTTAGGTAGGTAGGGTAGAGAGTAGTGCTTAAGATAACTGAAGGTGGGAAGATTCAACAATAATATAAGACACCAGGAAAACACCCTCAGGGGGTAGATAAAACAATACCCAGGGACTACCTGCCTGGGGAGGGGGCTCTGAATGCCTAGACACCCACCCCTGCTTACTAATATGGCTTTGTCCTCCCCTCCCCATCCACTGTGGGGGATGATGGCCATGACAGCTCCAACTGCCATATAAGGACTAAAACTCTCACAATCAATGGAAAAGCTGAGGCAAGACCCTGACTGGACAACCTTGGTGAAAGCAGTACCTGTAATTCTTCAACATCATAAAAATATGAAACCCCACAATGCTGCAGGAAACTGTCCACTTGGCTACTCTCCTGAAAGTACTATTGCCAAATAAATTGAAGACTCACTTTGTCTGGATGTGGTTTTGAAATGTTTCCTTGCCATAGTCAAGAACAGAGGACCTCTCATCTAGGTAACAAGAAACAAGGGTGGAAGTGGAAGTAGAAGAAGGGAGACCAGTTTGGAAGTTAGTGCAGTTCTCCACGAGAGAGACATTAATGAACTTAATTAGTATGGTAACAGTGGAGGTGGTGAAAAGCGATTGGATTCTGGTGAACCACTAAAGGTAGAATGGATAGGATTTCCTAAATGAATATGTTATGTGAAATTCTTAATTTGATAGACAGGAAGAACTGAGTTGACATTTACTGAGATAGGGGAAAATGTGGCAGAAGTATGTTTGATGGAAGGCAAATGAAGTTTTGTATGTGTTAAATTTGAACTTTTAACTAGATATCTGAGTACAGATGTTGCCTACCTAAATAGGTAGAAATGTGAGTCCATCAAGATCAAGAGAGACCTGACCTAAGTTGAAAGTTGTATAGTCCTAAACTGTATATGATTTTTAAAACTATAGGGCTATATAAGAACATCTAGACCATCAGAGAAGAGGTGCAAGAAAGGATACTTTGGATACTCCATTTTTTAAAAAATTATGAAGCTAAAGAGAATGTAACAGAGGAAACTGAGAGGGAAAAGCTAGCCACAGAGTTAAAAGAACTAAAGGTATCCCATAAGCAAAGTGAAAAGATTACTTCAGGGAGGAGAGAGTAATCACCTACATTAAACGTTACTGATACACTGCATAAGAGGGAGACTGAAAAGTTAACTCCTGGATTTGGCAATGTGTGGATCAATGGTGATTTTGATAAGCTGACTCTACCGGGCAAGGGACTACATTGTTACCATGCACTATCTCACAATACTACCATGAAGTGGATGCTATTTTTACATTATTACTTGTTTTACAAATACATAAATTTTAATTAAGAGGGATTAAGAAACTTGACCAGTGGCCCTCCCTGGTGGCGCAGCGGGTTAAAGCACAGCACTGAGAATCTGAAGCCACTTCCGCATGAGTTCGATTCCCGCCTGCCGCCTGCCCCGGAGGAGACCACATGGCGAGCCAGACCTCTCCTGGCCCGCCCGCTGCTCCCCTCAGCAGTGTACTTCGTCAATCTGCCTGTTCTGCTCCCCACTCTGTCTCTGGTGAAGCCTCTCACCGCCCCTGAGCCTCTGGCCTGTACCCCAGTTCTGTATGAATAAATAAATAAATCTTTAAAAAAAAAAAAAAAAAGAAACTTGACCAGTGTCACTCAACTGGTAAATATCTATCAACTAATAGATACTGTTGATAAATGATGGTCAAGACTGAATCCAGGTCTGTCTGACCCCCAACACAAAAATCCTGGCTCTTCTATAAAATGTGAGTTAGATTAGTAACAATGACATATGTTATTTTTAGTATTCAATATGATAATATACATAAAGTGCTGCATGTAATACCTTTTGTGTAGTAAGCAGTCAAGAAATAACTACTTTTGTACTGACAGGCATAATTTGCTTTACTGCCCTTCACAGATACAGTTTTTTTTTTTTTTTTAATTTAAAAATGAAGGTTTGTGGCAACTCTTCACTGAGCAAGTTTATTGGCATCATTTTTACAACAGTTTGTACACATTTGATATCGCTTTGCTACATTTAATAAAGGCATGAACATTTTTTTTATTAGAGATAGTGCTGTTGCAGACCTAGTAGCATAGTGTAATCTTAATTTTTATATGCATTGGGAAAAGAATAAATTCATTTGACTTGCTTTACTGTGACATTCACTTTATGTGTTAGTCTGGAATCAAACCTGCAATTTCTCTAAGGTATGGCTGTACTTTGTGACATCAGATTATAGATATTTTTCAGAAATTTCTTTTTATTTTAAATATGCTTTTCAAAATCTGATCATTTTTAAATAATTTTATTATATATGGGAATCATCTTTTTCCCATAGAGAAATTAAATTTCCAGTTTTACAGTGAAAATCAAAGGGAGAATTCTTATACAATGACATATTTTACAATAATCTTTTGGGAAACATTTCCTATTTTATAACATTTGACATAACTATATGTAACTTCACTACCAAATAAATTAAAAACAAACAGGTCACAAGTAGTACCTATGGTACTAATACAGCTCTCCATAGGTTATGAAATTCTTTTTCTTTTTTTTTTTTAAGATTTATTTATTTGTGCAGACAGAACTGGGGTACAGGCCAGATGCTCAGGGGCAGTGAGAGGCTTCACCAGAGAGAGTGGGGAGCACAACAGGCAGATCTACGAAGTACACTGCTGAGGGGAGCAGCGGGCGGGCCAGGAGAGGTCTGCTGCACCATGTGGTCACCGCCGGGGTAGGCGGGAATCGAACTCATGCGGAAGTGGCCTAAGCCTCTTAGTGCTGTGCTTTAACCCGCTGCGCCACCAAAGAGGGTCAAGGTTATGAGATTCTTATGCTGGTGTTCCTTTGGTGTTCTGTGTATAAAATTCATGTTACCTATGAGCTAGGATAGGATAAATTTCTTTTTATTTTCATTAACCTTTGAAAATGAACATTGTCTTCAATAATGAATGTAGGAAACAAGTCACAATATCAGGACCTCATATTTTCTTAGAAATATAAACAGATATTTTCAATTTACACTGCAATTACAGCTCTATCAAGATATTTATATTTATTACTACTTCAAAATTATGGCCTGTATCAAAAACATGTTGTTAGATATTGTTGACTACATTAAGGAAGTTCATATATTACAAAACATTTTATTTTATTAATGTGAAACATTATTCTGAGAAGGTATCAGCAGCATTCACACACAAACACTGAGAAAATGCTTCCTAGTGGTTCTGCCTGCTTTTATCTCAAATATATTTTCACTGCCAAGTGGTAGGAGATTTTGTTCAGTATAAGAGTGTACTACAAAAATAGTTTTCTATATTAAAGCTATAAGCATGTGAAAAACAATTGTTTTTATATAACTAAGGATGACTCTACTTGTTTAACATGCCATCATCTGACTGAATTCTCTAGCACTTCCATAACTCCCTTCATTTATATTCTTATACTAAGTTTGGTAAAATATTCAGCTCACCCAAATTTGAAAGCTCCTTGCTTTTAGACTGCTACCTCTCAACCTGAAGCTAAAAGTCATCAAGTTTTTCATTTACTGGTAGTTTACTTCAGCTTTTATTAACTAGAGAATTTAAAAAAAATTTTACAACATTCTTAATTTTTGTACAATGTATGCTTTTTCATCTCAGTTGCAAACACCACACTTACCACCACCAATTCAATCCATGCACCATCACCATAGTCCCCTGTGCTCTTCTCAGCCCTGTTTTGATCCTTTTGCCCTCCCCGCCAACCCCCCCACACACAAAGAATGTCCCTGATTTATAATTGTTTATTTTAGTTTTTACTTTATTACAATTACTTTCCCCCCCTGATTCCATTCACCCCTGCTGTGAGTAAAACCATCTGTTTTTTTTTTTTTTCTTTCGGGTTTATTTTGTTTAGCATGATCCCTTCCAGCTCCATCCATGCTGCTGCAAATGGCATGAGTTTATCTTTTTGATTATTTATATTCCATTGTGTACATGTACCACATCTTCTTGATCCAGTCATATATTTTGGGCATTTGGGCTGATTCCAAATCTTCTCTATTGTAAATAGTGCTGCAATAAACATAGGGGTGCAGGTATCTTTTTGAATTAATGTTTTTGTGTCTTTTGGGTAGGTCCCTTGGAGTGGGATTGCTGGGTCATATGGAAACACCATTTTTAGCAGTTTACGGAAACGGCAAACAGCTTTTCCATAAGGTTGAACTAGTTTGCATTCCCACCAGCAGTTTAGAAGAGTTCCTTTTTCTCCACATTCTTGCCAATATTTGTTGCTAGTTTTTTTTTTTTTAATCTCACTGGTGTGAGATGGTATCTCATTGTGGTTTTTATATGCATTTCCCTGATTACAAGTGATGTTGAACATTTTTTCATATGCTTGTTGGCTGTGTGCATTTCCTCTTTGGAGATGTGTCTTCTATACTCTTCTGTCCATATTTTGATGGGGTTATTCACTTTGTGTTGAGTTTTGTCAGTTCCTTGAAGACTTTTGTGACCAATCCTTTATCATTAGTATTGTGTGCGAAAATATTCTCCAAATCAGAGGGGTGTCTCTTTGTTTTGGATAATGTCTCTTTCCTGTACAGAAACTCTTTAACTTGATGAAGTCCTAGCTGTTTATCCTTTTCTTCATTATCTTTGCTTTGGGTGATGTATCTTTAAAGATGTTACTGAGGTGTATGTCATGTAGTATTTCAGCAATATTTCCTTCTATATATTTTATGGTTTCAGTTCTTATGTCTTAACTAGAAGAATTTGTATGAGCATTTCCTGCTTGGGGCCTCACCACTGAAGACACTATAATTCTAGGATGGAGTGATTTTTGGAAGAAACCCAATAGTGATATGCGTTCTTCTGGTTTAGAACCACTTAGATTAAGTCATTTGACTCCTGCCTTTTAAGAAAAGACTCATCTTATTCTTATCTGAGAAATTAGGGATTATATCTCCCCTATTAGAAATTTCTTCACTCCTTGAAGCAATGTGGTCTGTGGCTTGTCTACCCAACCCAAAGCACAAGCAAACAGATGTAGCTCCTCTGTTGTGAAATAATGTATAAACAGTGTCTTTTCTAGGAGATGGGGCTATTCCAAATAAAGGAAAGTAAAAATTTATCATTCTTTTGGCAAAAACAAACAAACAAAATACTTCACTCCTTGAGCTAATTAAGGGCTCTCTGCCCTAAAGGGTAAGCGGATATAAAACCTCTTGAATCTCAACCCTATAAATCATTATACTTTCCTTTTCTCTTTATCATATCTTAATCGCTAATAAAAATATTTTCTACTTAAGTTTTTTTTAGCAGACTTTACAAAAATCTGATATTATAACAGAAAATGAACAAAATGTTTCAAGTTAATAAAAAACTGCAATGATTATTATCTCAAATAGCCACTAGGTGATATCTGTTTATTGATAATTTAGTTCACAAATTTCATTTATATTTTAAGCAAGTTAGGTATCAAAACATGGAACAGACTGCTAATTGTGGAATGAGGTAGGACTGTTAGAAATTCTATTTTTGTTTCTTTTATAAAAAATTGGGATGACATTTACTATACAGGTTCACAGTAGCTGGAACACTTTGTTCTATTTTTTTTTCCTGTGCTTTTGCTTGCCTTTTTCCTATTAACCAGTATTCTTAATTTCAGAATTAAAAAAAAAACCTGTCTTTTTCAAATCTAGAAAATCCACTTGATTTTCTGATAGATTCCAATGCTATGTGAAATTCTCCATCTATTTGTCCATTTGGTTCATCATATTTTCTATTTAATGTTAACCATAGTTGTTTAGAAGCCCCTTTCTGCTAACTGCAATATTTAGATCAGTATGGGTCTGGTGTTACTGTTCTCTTATGATTGTCAGTCACATATTTCTGGTACTTCGTGTAACTCGTATTTTGTTTATATGGTGAACATTCTGAATAGAAGCACCATGAAGTTCCAGATTACATCTTCTACTAGAGGTTGGACCCTTTTCCTCTTAGGAAGAATGAAATACTTATCTTAATCCAGTCAAGCAGTGAGCTGGATTGAAGTTTTAGTAAGAGACAACCTCCTCTTAGTTCCTTAGGTATGACACTCCCAAGGTTCTGATTGAGAGATTGAAAGGTTTCTGTCTCCTTTGGAAACTTGGTTTTGTGATACTGAGGTTTCGACCTTGGCTATATTTAGTGTCCTGATTCATAAAAAATCTGGAAAATTCATGATCTCTAGTGAATGAGTGAGTGTGGCTGCATTCTGATATAGACACTCATATTTGAATTTCACATAATCTTCACTTGGCACAAACTTTTCCTTTTGATATTATCAACCATTTAAACAATTGAGAAACCATTCCTGGCTTGTGGAATGTACAAAAGTAGGCAGTGGACCAAATTTGGAACAAGGGCCACAGTTTGCCAACCTCTGCTTTATAAGGACATTAATACAGTGATATGGTCAGGTTTCATTTTGCTTTTATCAGATTTGAAGATGTGCATTTTATTACATTACCAAATTTGAGATTCCAAAATAACATAATTTTCACCATAAATATATATAAATAATAGAAAACAACAAAACATACATTCAGAGCCATGATACGCAGTTGAAGATTACAGGTAATCCATTCTGTGTGGGATAGGTGATGGCTGTGGCTATGTTCTCCAGCTAAATGACACCTTCCAAAATGTGTTTCATGAAAACTTGTTCACAGGCAAAATGGCTAATTAACATAGGCAAAGATAATGATATCTTCTAATAGCATTGAGAATATATATGGGTTTGACCATTGTATTCCTTACTTTAAGTGCAGTATCATTTAATTCTCCAAATAACCATATAAGAAAAACATTATTGTCCCTCTTTAATGGCATATGATAGTAGATAACTTGCCTCAGGTAATGGCCCTAAACTATTGGATCTAGGGTACAGATCCAGGTCTTATTCTAAAATCTGTTCTCATAATCACTACTGTTTCTTCCTATGTCTTGAACATTTGGGGTTGCATGTGAAATGTAGAAATGGTGAACCACAGGGTCTACTGTATAATCAACTCTAATGATATAGAATAGGGGTGAACAGCCCTAGCCATATTTCTTACCTCTATAGAACCTCTTGGAATGCTTTTTATATCCCACATTATCCAGGACAAGCAGGTAAAGGGTTTTAGAACCCAGATATGTAAAGAAATGACACTGGCTATAGGGGTTACTTAATTCTACTATTACCTTGTATCATCTGCACAAAGATACTGTGGAAATGACAAGCATTTAGAAAAATGACAATATATATTAAGTATATATGGGAACAAAGCCAACTATAGATTATTCAGAGAGATCTAAAAACTTTATGGTCCTCCCTGGTGATACAATGGGTTAAAGCACAGCACTATGAAGCTGTCGCAGTCACTGCAGCATGAGTTTGATCCCCTGCCAGGGGTGTGGACCACTTGGCACGGCAGACCTCTCCTGACCCACCAACTGCTCCCCTCGGTAATGTATTTTGGTCAATCTGCCTGTTCTGCTCCCCAGTCTGTCTCTGGTGATTCCTCTCACCAACCCCACCACTGGCCTATGTATAAATGGCTAAGTCTTAAAAAAAATAGAAAAACTTTGTAACATAACTTGGGCCTCCCTGGTGGTGGAGGGTTTAAAGTCTCAGTGCTATAAAGCTATCGCCAGACCACTGCCACATGAGTTCAATTCCTGACCAGGGAGCTAACGCACATGGCACAGTCGACCTCTGCTGTCTCACTTGCTGCTTCTCTCAGTGTATTTCAGTAGATTCATCTGTTCTGTTTCGCACTCTGTCTCTGGTGAATCCGCTCATCCCCCGCATCTGGGGTCTATATCCCAGTTTTTGTACACATAAATAAATAAAAATGAATATTAAAAAATACTTTATAACGTACCTTGATTAGAATGGAGAGGTAACAAAAGGTAATAGTAAAAGTCAAATCAAGTATATTGCTCAGTGATATTTTTATAAAAATTAAGTGAGAGAGAGGAAGTGGAAATTAGAGATTCAATGCTGGTTCTAAATTAGATAAAATGACAGATAATGGAAAGAGCTTAAACTTTGGTGTCAAGAAGATGTAAACTATAAACAGAAACTTGCTCTATCATCTGAGCAACTTAAGCGGTCTCTATGTTTCAGTCTTTTATCATAAATTATTTTAATTACATATAAACCAATTTTTTGTCTTATTGTACGTTCAGTTGAGGCCTGAATAACATAATATAGCTTTTGTACTATAATAAATGCTCAATAAAAAGTACCCATTATCAGTATGTACTAACTTTCTAACTCTGAGTTGGCCCTTTTTTATTACAAGAAGAGAACTTAGTGGTTAACATCATTCATAATGGCAGGGAGACAAACTTATGCATGACAGTGACTGGTGAGTTGATGTGAATACATTACTAAAATGGTGGTAAACATTCTGTTAACCTTGTTTTTGATGACAGCAAAACCATGGCAGTATTTGCCTAGAAATCTTAATCGTCACTGTTTGGTACTACAAACTATTGATTACTAGTATCTACTACCAGCAAAGTTATTAGTATTAAAATTGGCACTGTTTTTACTAATTGATACTAAAAGTCTTCTTGGTAACTAAATTAAGTAAAACAAATGGTAGAAGCTGAGACTGAGGGGGTGAACAGCTCAAGAAAAAAGAAAACTAAGATTTGTTCTGTGTAGATGTGACATATACCTATATCCTATAAATTGATGGAATTCAGAAAGTCATTATCCTCCAACCTGATTAGAAAGTTCAGTTATAAAGTGACATAAAATGCTTCATTCACCGAAACTGCCAGTGATCCTCTATGCTACCAAAATCAAAGATCTATATTATGAACTGAATCTTTAGAAAGAATCTCAGGTATCTAAGTACTTCATAACCTAGAAAGATATTAGATATAAGAAAGTCAAAATATTTGAGGAAAATATTAAATAAGTTCAAACTACTAATCAGAGTATCATAAAAAATATTTAAGAAAAGATTTAAGAAAAGAATGAAAACAAAATTGAATTATTCCAAACAAACCTGAAATGGATTCTGACTTGGTCTTTGTTTCTGAGCTGCGTTCTGCTGGCAAAGGCAATGAGTGTCTCAGGGCATGAGTTGTTTCTGCAGGTTTTTCTATTTCAGCAGAGCTTCCTAGCTGTTTTCCAAAAAGATATTTCCTTTGTAAGTCAATCACATTACTAAATGAATAAAATATACTAAAGAAACCTGTAGCAGGGCCCTCCCTGGTGGTGCAGCAGGTTAAAGCACAGCACTAAGAAGCTAATGCCACTTCAGCATGAGTTCCATCCCCGCCCAGGAGGTGACCGTGGCGTGGCTGACCTCTCCTGACCCACCCACTGCTCCCCTCAGCAGTGTACTTTGTGAGTCGGCCTGTCCTGCTCCCCACTCTGTCTCTCATGAATCTTCTCACGGACCCTGCACCTCTGGCCTGTACCTCAGTTCTGTATGCAAAAATAAATAAAAATCTTAAAAAAAAAACACACCTAACTGTAGCATATGAAGGTATTACATTCCTTCATCTCTTTTCAGTCTATGTTTAACAATATATAAGCCAACACCCACCCAAGCAAAATTCAGTATCTATCTTTTTTGTTCATTTAAACACTACCTTGTTTTTTTCTTTAGGTTCTGGAAGTGCTTCTTTGTTATTTTTTGTCCACAATGATTTAACTCCTTCATAAATTTGTTGACTTGTATCATATGCCTTTTTCCCAGTTACCTAAGACAAAAAGAAAATCAAATAACATGTTTGTAAAATTTAAAATATATTCAAACATATGTTACACATTTCATAGAATTACCAGGTCAGAATCAACAGAAATAAATAGAAATATAGATATAAATATCTAGATCAAATAAATCACCATTTTCTACATTTTATATGAAAAGTATTTGCTTTCTGTAAAATACTAAAAAATGTATACATACCATAGTCAACCCTTACCTAGTTTCACTTTCTGCTGTTTCAGTGACCTATAGGCAACTGAGTTGGAAAATACTACATATACTACATATAGTAAATTATTTTGAGAAACCATAGTCGTATAACTTTTTTATGGCATATATTTTACTAAATATTCTATTCTTATTTGTTGTTAATTTCTTATTGTGCCCAAACTACAACTTAAAATTTATCAAAGCCACTAATAAGAAAAAATAGTATATGTACTACCCATGGTTTCAGATATCCACTTGAGGGGGAAGAGAGGATATGTTAGAGAAGGAAGGGGATAGGACATTGGCCCAGGAGACTGGTAGTGGGTGAATGAAGTAGGTACACATATGGAAAGGTAAAAATATTTTACCCAAATTATTTTTTTACACTAATTTTTTTCTGATGGGAGAATATAAAGTACAGGCATGTAAATTAACATAAAATTTCACCACATTTCTCTTTCAAATTCTTCTTTCCCCTGACCCGTTCTCTACTTTCCCTCTGTCTATCACCATTTTTCTCCCCTCAAGGGGTTCTCAAAACTATGGTCTGCTTCAAGTCTTAAAGTTCATCTTTGTCTAAACCTTTGTTTACTTTCTGTAGATTACCCATACAAGTGAAACTATCCATTATTTAACTCAATTCACTTAGCAAAATTTCTTCCAGTTCCACCCATGTTGCCTCAAATGTCATGAGTTTATCTTGTCTGAGTAGTATTCTCTTGTGTATATTTACCAAATCTCTTGATCCACTCATCTGCTCTGGGGCACTAAGGTTGTTTCCATATCTTGGCTATTGTAAATAATGATGTTATAAAACTAGGAGTGCAAATTTCCTTTCAAAATAGTATTTTATTGATATTTGGATAACTAGGAATAGAACTGCTGTGTCACATGGTAACTCCACTTTTAAAAAAGTTTTATTTATTTATACCTACAAGAACTGGGGTGTAGGCAGAGGTATGGAGGAAGTAAGAGGATTCACCAGAGACAGGGTGGGAAGTAGAACAGGCAAATCTACTGAAATACACTGCTGAGTGTATACACCCAATACATTGGGTGAGAAAGGAGAGGTCTGCTGTGCCATGTGGGTAATTCCCTGGCCTCCAGAAATTGAACTCTTGCTGCAGTGGCTGGCAAAAGTTTCATAGCACTGTCTTTAACTGCTGCACCACAATGGAGGACCCCACTTCTAGTATTTTAAGGGATCTCCACACTTCTTTCCATAGGAGCTGGACCAATCTACATTCCTATCAATAGTGTAAGAGGTTCTTTTCCCATATCCACCTCAGAACCTATTTGTGGTATTTTTGAGATAGATCATTCTCACAGGTGTGAGGTGATTATCATGTGGTTTAGATTTGCATTTCCCTGATGGTAAGTGATGATGAGCATTTATTCATGTGTCTGTTGGCCATAAGCATGTCTTCATTGGAGATGTACCTATCAAGTTCATCTGCTCATGTTTTGATTGGTTGTTTTCTTTTTGTTGAGTTGTATAAGTACTTTGTAGGTCTTGAATATGAACCCCTTATCAGATATATGGTGTGCAAATATTTTCTGCCATACTGTGTAGAATGTCTTTTGTTTTGATCACTATATCTTTCACTGTTTAGAGGCTTTTTAGTTTGATGATGTCCCAGTTGTTTATTTTCTCCTTTGTTTTCCTTGCTGCTGGAGATGAGTCTGCAAAGGTGTTTCTGAAGATTATGTTAGGGAGTGTTGTGCTTATGTTTTCCTCTAAATATTTAATGTTTTCAGGAATTACATACATGTATGGTGTGAGCTACATTATTTTGCATGTGGCAGTACAATTTCCCCAGCACCATATATTAAAGAGGTTTTCCTTGTTCCAGTGTGTATACTTGCTCCTTTTCAAAGATTAGTTGTCTATAAATGTGTGGTTTTATTTCTGGACTTCTAATTCTATTCCAGCAGTCGATGTGCTTGTTTTTGTTCCAGTAGCATGACAGCATGATGTTTTAGTTATCATGGCTTAATAGTATTTGAAGTCTAGAAGTTTGATACCTTCATCCCCCCCCCCCTTTTAGTCAGGAGAGCTTTTGGCTATTGTGGAATTTTTGTGGCTCCATATGAATTTCAGTACTCTTTGTTTTACTTCTTTGAAGAATGCTATTGGGATTTATATTGGGATGACACTGAATAAATAAATGGCTTTGGGTAGAATGGCTATTTTGACAACATTGATTCTTCCAAAACATGAGCAGGGTATATCTTTCCATTTCTTCAAATCTTATTCTACTTCTTTTAGCAATGTTTTACAATTTTCTTTGTAAAAAAAAAAAAATCCTTCACCTTTTTTTGTTAGGTTTATTCCCAGGTATTTATTTTTTTTAGTGAGATTGTAAATATGATGGCTTCCTTAATTTGTCTACTTCATTATTTTATATAGGAATACACCTGATTTCTGTATGTTTATTTTGTATCCTTACACTTTGCTGAACTCGTTTATTAATTCCTTTCCCTAAAATATTTATTTATGCATACAAGTATGAGGTGAAAGCCAGAGGTGTGTGTGGCGGGGGGAATAAGAGGGTTCTCCAGAGAGCAGGGAGCAGAACAGGCAGGTTTACTGAAACACAATGCTGAGGAGAGCAGCAGGCAAGGCAGGAGAGGTCTGCTGTGCCATGTGGGTTAGCTTGCTGTGCCTTGTGGGTTAGCTCCCTGGCCAATGGGGGGATCGAACGAGTGCCTGCAGTGGCTGGTAATAGCTTCACAGTGCAGTCTTTAACCCTGCACAACCAGGGAGGCTCTGTTTATGATTTCAACTAGTTTTTATATGGAATCTTCAGGGTTCTTTGTGTACATTATCATAACATCTACAAATAATGATAGCTTTCTTTCTATCCCAACTTGAATTACTTTTAATACTATCTCTTGCTTATTTCCTTAGTTGCAACTTCTGATCCTATGTTGAATAGTAGTGGTGACAGTAGACATTGTTATCTTTACCAGCTCTTAGTAGAAAAGCTTTCAGTTTTTCACTATAGAGAATGATACCAGCTGTGAGTTTGTGATATATGATTTTTATTATGTTCAGATACATTCCATTTACACCCAGCTTTTCAAGAATGTTTATCAAAAATACAAGAATATCAAATGATTTCTCAGCATCTTCTGATATGATCATGTGATGTCTGTTTCACTGATGTGGTTGGTATATTACATTGATTTTCGCATGGTGAACCATCCTTGTGTTCTTGTTATGAATGGCGATGGGGTATACTCTTTTTGTTGGACTTTGCTAAGATTGTTTTGGAGGGTTTTGCATCTGTAACCATTTGGGAGAATGGTCTGTAGTTTTCTTTGGCATAAGTGTAATATGTGACTCATAAAATGTGTTTGGAAGAACTCCTTTCTTGATTTTTTGAAAGAATGAAAGTAGGATAGATATTAGTTTGCCTTGGAAATTTGGGTAGAACCTTCTTGTGAAGTCACTTCATCGTGTACTTTTATTTTTGGGGAGAGTTTTCATTACAGTTTCCATTTCCTTCTTGTGATTGATCTGTTTGGGTATTTCATTACTTCCCTATTCATTACTGGATGATCATATGATTGATTTGTGTGTGTGTGTGTATGTTGTTGAATTTGTATGCATATAAATGTTTATAATGATCTCTTATTTAGGTATTTGTGCAGTGTCTGCAGTAACCCTTTACATTTTGATCCTATTTTTTAGCATTTTCTCCCTTTTTATTACTTAGCCTGCTAAAGCTTTGTATACTGTTTTTTTTTTTTCAAGAACTAGCTTTTGTTATGATTGATCTTTTGTAGTGTCTTTCTGTTTTCTATTTTTTTAATTCTCTGTTATTACCTCCTTCTACTGGTCTTAGGAATTTGTTTCTTCTTTACTGGTTGCTTGAGTTGAGACACAGATTATATGGGCTCTTTCTAGCCTCTTAATGGCATGAAGTATTGCATTCTTTCCTCTGAGAACTTCCTTTGCTGTGCCCCATACATTTGTAAGTTTGTGTCCTCATTATCATTTGTCTCAAGGTATTTTTCAATTTCTTCTTTGATTGCCTCAGCAACCCAGTGGTTGTTAAGTATTGTATTATTCAGGCTTGATGGACTAAAGTATCTCCTTGTTTTCTTATATAGTTGATTTTTAGTTCAGTACCTTTATGGTCAGAGAACATACTTTGTATATTTCCTAACTTCATGAATTTGCTGAAGTTTGTCTTGTGACCCAGTGTGTGGTCAGTCCTGGAGAATGACCCAAGTATATTTGAGAAAAATGTATATTTGGCTTCTTTGTATGTAGTGCCCTTTTAATGACTATTAGGCACATATGGTCTAGGACTTTCTTATGGATGATAATGTTCTTACATATTTTATGTCATGTTGAGCTGTCCATTAGTGACAGTTGGGTATCAAAATCTCGAACCACGTATGTCTTTTCTCCATTGTCTGTTTTCAAATTTGATAGCAATTGCCTGATATACTTTGCTGCTCCTATGTTTAGTTGAGTTTATATTGTTAGGTCTTGCTGTTGTATAGCCCCCTGATTGTTATATTGTGTCCATTCCTGTTTCATTACTTTTTTTAAGCTGGAAATATATTTTGCCTGATATAAGTATGGCTGCTCCTGCCTCCTTTAGGTGCCATTTGCTTGCAAGATTGTTTTCCATCCCTTTACTTTCTATGTTTATCCTTGGCACTTAGGTGTGTTTCCTGGATGCTGCAGAAGTTTAGATTCTGCTTCTTAATCCAACTATATACTCTGTCTTTTTTATTGGTAAGTTGAAACCATTAACATTTACA